ATATCGTTACATCAAAGATACATATCATCGCATTTTTATATCACGATGTGTCGTTACACCCCTAATTGATAATTAAATAAATTACTCTATAAGGTAACTCTATAAGGTTTTGGTCATATGACCCACACATAGGCTATTTGTGTTAAATAATCGTGATTAGAATACTGACCAAAATAATTGTGATTATGATTTTTGCAATAATCGAGCAGCCCTAACGTCAGGTTTTACCTAATTTAGAGAAGGCCATTTGAATATACAGGAAAGAAAATTAGACTTTAGTTGCTTCTTTTTAGAAGTCTGATCATATCATAAGGACTATTTTATGGTTCTTTTTATCATAATGAAGAGAGTGTGAAGATTCTTCAATAATTGTCCTTTTCTGTGCCATGGGAAAGAATACCAATTTGGATTTGAGATGACATAATAATTTTTGGGTGAACTATTCCAGCAATAAAAACAGTGCAAACCCAAGCTGCCTCTCTGCCAATTAACTTTAAACTAAGGGAGCAGGAAGCAGTCATGTCTTTAGCTAAAGCTCTGTGTCCTCAACTGTTTGTTATGGATTCTGATTCAGCTGTCCAAACAGTCCACAGGAGAGCCAACCTGCTGCCCTAACAACACACACCAATATAGAGAGAGCTTTAGGACAACAACTGACCTGACAAAGACATCATTTTGGAAAACAACAGCTATTTATCATTTCCAACACGTGTTCAGTACAAGCAAAATAATTTCGCTGTGAGACGAGGGAGATATTTAGGCTTTTGACAACAGGCAAAATCAATCAATGTAGTTAGGACTTAGTTTTTTTTCACAGTAACCTATAATAGATTCAACTATAGTTCACACTCATTTAAGTTCAAAGCAATTTTTCAGTCAAAATAATACTACTAATAGTATTGTGTAATTCTCCTAATAACAATTGTAGGTTGACAATTGGTCTACCAACATTGTTTATGTAACTCATTGAACAACCACAAAAACACTAGTCGGAAATACTTCTATAGTGCCACCAAGCCATCGTTTTATGTAACAGCAGTTGCTCTGGGTATGTGACCAAAAGCGCAAAACTTACTGGTTGGTTGGCATGCATTTTCCATAGTGTGATGGAAAAGAGATTAGAACACCTCTACGTTAAAAAAAAAAGAAAAAGAAAAAAAAAGTTGCATCGACAGCAGCCAAATGTTCAAGTTTTCAACAGAGGCACCAGCTGTTCATTCAAATTAAAATGTTACTGCACTGAATGTTTGTCATTCTGTAAAATATAACCAGAAGTTCAACCAAATGGAAAAATGTAGCCCCACCTCAAATGGATGCATTAAACAACTTCACAAAATTGATGAACATTTCTACTAAATTCATGCAAGTCACATTTCTGCTTTTGACTTCCTTTGCTGTAGGCAACCAAAATTATTTTCTGCACCAAAATGATTAAATTACATTTAACCCAAATTTTTCTCACAAATGCACTTTGCATAAACAGCAGACGAACAGTAGAGCTGCATGATTCTGGATAAACTGAAAATCTAGATTTTTTGTTTCAAGCAAAGATCATGATTTTCCCACGAGCAGACAAATGAAAAAAATTACATGTAATAATAACTAACGATTATTTTTTCTACCGAATAATCTAACGATTATTTACCTTTTCTGAATAGCCGAATAATCCTTTGGTTAACTTACCAATAAATAATAACTGTAAATAATCTACGTATGAACTTTTACCTAATGATACTATTTATCACAAAAGACAAGTAAATGCAGTGTAGCCCTAATTAGGAAAGGATTTTACTATGTCTGCGTTCACAGTTCCTTTTACAGCACCAATTGTGTGAATCCTGAAATGTTTTGTTCGTTCAGGAGATTAAATTAGCTGCTTGAATATGTTCATTCAGCTGTTTGAACAAACAGCTGAAGTCACAACCACATTCTAACTCATAGCCAGAGTTTCAATCCGTGTCCATAAAACAGTGCAGTTTTCCCACACTGATAGCGCGTTAGTAAATAAATGAGTGCAATCGAGGGGTGAGTTCATCTATTAGATTTTTTAAACCAACAATAGCTTTAACGTTTTGTAACCAGTTCGAGAGAGTATGTTTGATCTGCATAAACAGCGTGACGAATCGACACATTGCACCTAAATAGACTAATTTACGATTATGTTGACACGTCATTCCAGCCCTAGATTAATTGTGCAGCTCTAACTCCATGCATAGTCAATGAATTCATGGCCCAGATGGTCTTCTGCTTCAAGGGCCAGCGTAAACGACGTTCAGGACTGTTGACGCAACTGTCACTTGCCCAATCGGGCCATCACGAAAGTTGATCAATTCCACGTGTTTTTAAGCCTTGCCAATTTAAATATTCAAGTGCAAGAAAACGCTAAACAGAAATCAATTCAATAGTGTGAGAAGTTGTGTGTGCGCACCCATCTGAAGCACATGCCCAGAAAGTCACTTCTCAGACAGCGTGCAAATGCTAAATTGAGCTCTCTTTCACGTCTTCTTGCGCTTGAATGGACATATTCATACAAAAATACATTAACAAATAAAATACATAATCTGTTATATCTTAAGTGAACAAACAGTTGAGAAATAAAACGCATGTGTAACAGTAAATTGGATCCGTGCAGCTCTTAAAGGAACACTCTGACTTTTTGGGACTTTAGCCTATTCACCTTATCCCCCAGAGTTAGAAAAGTCCATACATACCTTTTTCATCTCCGTGCGTGCTATAAGTCTGTTTGACGCACCCACCGCTAGCCTAGCTTAGCACAAAGACTGGATGTAAATGGTTGCAGCTAGCATACTAATCCAAATAAGTGACAAAATAACGCAAACATGTTTCTATTTACATGTTGTGATTTGTATAGTCACAGAGTGTACAAAAAACAAAGTCACATGAGACACAGACATATTTTAACCGTATAAATACTGGGAACTATATTCTCTGAAGGCGACTATATTCTCTGAAGGCGAAGCACTGCTACTTGGGCGGAGTGATAACCGCAGCACCTGAGACGCGCCGTGGTGAGGAGCAGAGAGCGCGTCTCAGGTGCTGCGGTTATCACTCCGCCCAAGTAGCAGTGCTTCGCCTTCAGAGAATATAGTTCCCAGTATTTATACGGTTAAAATATGTCTGTGTCTCATGTGACTTCGTTTTTTGTACACTCTGTGACTATACAAATCACAACATGTAAATAGAAACATGTTTGCGTTATTTTGTCACTTATTTGGATTAGTATGCTAGCTGCAACCATTTACATCCAGTCTTTGTGCTAAGCTAGGCTAGCGGTGGGTGCGTCAGATAGAGTTACAGCACGCACGGAGATGAAAAAGGTATGTATGGACTTATCTAACTCTGGGGGATAAGGTGAATAGGCTAAAGTTTCAAAAAGTCGGAGTGTTCCTTTAAAGTGACAGCAGCCTGATAACATTCCTGCTGCTGTCTTTGTTTTAATGTTAATTAAACAACAAAGGACAAAGAAAAAAAATCACTCACTGCACTTGACTTAATAACTTTTGTAACTTTAACAAGGATTAATGTATATTTAATTTATACAGTGAAGACTATGCAGTGCTATTTTACTTTTCTTAATTATTTTTTCTACCTGAAAATTACTTTTAGACTTACAACACTAACTGTTCTATATTTGTGCAATTGCTCGTAATTTGAGTATTTGTTCTTATTTAATTACTGACAGTTTACTTGTCTTTAACAATATTTGAAATGTATATAGTTTTTGGTGTCACAACCTTATTTATTAAGGTTATGGGTCAAAAACCACGAAGACAATAACTAGGCCTATTTTATGTGTTTATTACTTTTTTGTAAAAATTAGCAGGGCAAGTAAAAATTTTCACCGGGCCAGTAGAAACAAATCCTTAACGTTGAGCCCTGGAATGTTTAAAGTCTTTAAACCACACTAAGTTTAATGATGTCCTCTGTATGGGTCTGCAGCAGAAGGCCATCTCCCAGGTGGCATCTTATCTAATGATCTTCTGCAGCAGCAAGTGTAAATCATGGCAGCACTTCTAGTTTTCCACATTGTTTTTCAAAGGGGATGATGACAGAGCAGCAACAATACATCTGAATACCACATGTTAAAAAGGTCTTTGCCAGCATAAGACCCGACATAACAGCAGAATCACTGTTACACCAAAAAAGGGCCTTTCACTGTGCAAGACAGACCTTTGCAAACAAGGCTTCAGGATACCTTATACTAAGCAGATTTATTTTGGTTGCATTATATTGTTCCGCTTTCTTTCACCAGTCAGCACTTGGCTTTGAGGGAATCTGCTGGTTTGCTTACGTCTGTGCACTACTGCCTGACTCAGTCGTATAAGGCTAGAAATTCCCTCAGTCATGCAGTCTAAGTTACAAGATACTCTTGAAAAAGGAACTGCAATAATGCCTGTCTACAAAGCAAACAAGTTCCATTTGCTCAGGCCAAATGGAAGCAAGATGTTTGTCTGAGTGTGTATGTCTGTAAAGGGGTGAGAAAGGAAGGACAGAGAAAGAGAGGGAGTAAAGAGCAAGTTTAGACAAGGCCACTTAGAGCAAAGCATTCCGGCAGGGGATCTTCTTTTATTCAACGTGACAAATTGTATGAAGTGAGATGGAGCAATGTGCCAACATGGCTGGGTCGTGTGAATAAGAACAATGAATGATCCCAGTATTTGTACAGGGAAAATATTACATCAAAGCTAAGCAAAACACAACGTCGTCCCTACCAGACAAGAAGAGTTCTAGAAGGCAAGTAGAGGCAAGCCATTTGGTCGCATGAATTCGGTTATAATCTCAAGCGACATTTACAGACACCCACAAGCCACCACTAAGGAATCTTCCCTCAAAGATTACACATCAAGCATTAGCAAGCTTTCCAACAAGAACAGACACAAGTTCTGTTCTAGAAGACTGTCCGAAGAATTACGTTTTCAGTTTTAAGATTATCAGCCTGACAAATCAAGGAAATCTTATCATCTGACTGACAAACATACCTCAGGTCACAGTACAGTCAACTTCCTGAATCTGCATGTTCCTGTGAAGTGCTACAACAGCACATAACAGTGCAGTTTGTGTGCACAGAATAAGAAGGATGGGCTCACAACTAAAGTGGATCAGCAGCGATCAGAGGGGGATCAGCTGTAATCACTGCAAAGCCAGAGTCAAAGATCCAGTGGTTCACGTTTCACTCGTGGTTCTAGAGACCTTGATGGGGTCAGAAGATGAAGGTGAGAGGTAAGTATCTGAACTGGAAGAAGGTGTCTTTTTTTCTCCAGTACAGACCTCCTGGACTGGAAATCTCATCACTCTTGAAAATGTAAACACCAAGGGTAAATGGAGGGGAGAAAAACATCAAAGTAGTTGGCAGTTTTCCTAAAGCCATTGATCAATTAATCGCACGAATCTGTATGGCCCGTATGTTTACATTTCATTAACAAAACTTAAATGGTGATGTTTAATAGCACAACAGATTATAACAAGAGTAATTATGCCATCACAATTGCCCTTTGACACATGATTATTTAGACATTGGACAAAACAGCTTTACCATGACAATAGTTTTAAAACAGCTTTTCCACAAACTTAGTCAAGTCATCTTCATTTATATAGCGCTTTTAACAATGAATTGTTTCAAAGCAGCTTTACAGAGATAAACATATAATTTAAGGTAACAGATTGTTTTGGCGTTATAGCGGTTCTTGAATAATGTTACTTCCAGCTAAAGTTAAACTTACACTGTGAAGTTTGAATTAGAGATGATCACTAGAATGTTCTTAACACATATAATATCTGTCTTTTATTAAAATTACTAAATAAAAACTATGCAAATGTTTTTTTAAAAGCAGGTAAAATCAAACTCAACCCTCATTTTTATAGGATAGCTTTAGAGGTTTTTATATTTAGTGAGTCTTTATATTGTACTTTTTTTTGTTTGTTTGTTTGTTTGTTTGTTTGTTTTTTATTTTAAACTTATAAATAATGTCACTATTAAAACTATGAAATATTAGATATCATGTTGTCCCAGTACTTATTGGTATCCTGCTCAACATCTCAAAAACCTTCTAGTCACTTAATGTATATAACAACAAAAAAACATATATATGGCAAATGTGGCCTGGCAACATGTTATTTTGAATGCATACAATAGAAATACTCACACGATGATCAGATCATCAGAATCCTTGATGCTTGCTTTGTGTCATAGTATAAAAACACAATGGACTAATGTGTTTGTTTCTTTTTAAAGTGATCACACAATCCACACCCCACCCTAGGCTAAACGTGGCACTGTTATCCGTGACAATGTTGTGACCACATACACGTGCTTTAACCTCTGACCACAAATGTGGACCTATTATTCAAAACTCAAAATAATAACGCTAAAAAAATAACAGAGCCAATCCAATGGCATTTCTCTCTTGGCAAACAACCCAGCTCATAACATCAGTCGTACAACATACGCGTGCATGATTTAGAGTAAATCTAATTATAACAATGATAAATTGCCAACATATGGCAGATTATATCAATATAAACTATAGACTAGAGTAATATGATACATTATGCATACGTTCTGACCAGTGTTAAGCTGAGTCTTATTGATATGTCTGAGACTGGCTAAAGGGGTTAGCAGTGGTGGCTAACGGACAGATCTCAACCTGTAATGCTGGAACTGTTTTGAGGGTCTCAAAAATGACAACTGTTTAAACTTATTTAAGTATTTAAACTGTGCTGACAAGAAGCTAGATGAATTGACCCTGAATAACTAAATGGACAACTATATAAACAACCACAACAAACAACGGACGTTGGTCGGCATTCACCTCCCTACTGCAACAGACACACACACACACACACACACATACATACTAGATTAAAACCCGTCTCAGACTGTTTACCTTGAAGTCTTTTTCAATTCCAGGGGTTTTAGCTAAATATTAACTTTCCATGGAGCGAGGTAAAGTTGCATAACCTTGCGCACACTGAGGGTTCAAGCCCGTCGTCAACGGTCAGTTTTCACACTAGGGCAGGATTTCAACAGTCCTCCAGTCCAGTCCATAGAGAGGCTGAATGTATAAAGCCCGTGTGGTGTGTGCGCAGACAGCAAGGCAGTTACCGCAGCTCCTCTAGCAGTCACTCATGCCATCAGAAGACGGGCTATGCGCTGCGGCTGCGCTGGACACAACTGCGCATGCGCACACATGCGCTGCCTCCAGGACTAAATCATCTGTATACCACCCTCTGCTGTAAACAGTAGGCTACAAGTAAATACACGATACCGACAACATTAATATAATACATGAGAAAAGTACACTATTAAAAACAGCCACACTTAACAATTTCAAGGTCCGCCTCTACGTTTTAACAGAGATCTTAATTGTGCATCTTCAGTGATTAAATGTAGCTACAGATGTAATTCGTAATCAAAAGGCAATCTTTGAAGACATAATGAAGAAAATGTAGTTATTTCATAATTATTTACATAACAATGAGTCTATCTAGGCCTGTTTGTTTCTCACAATACCCTGCCATAAGCCCATATCTTAGGTAGTAGTAGCCAATAACAACAGAATGAACTCAAAGCAGTTCAACCTTATTTCTTTGTAGTGAGCAAGAGTTTTAAATTTAGCAGTTGCAATGTTTTCTGGATAATCCCCAAGTGTATTTCATCACTGCAATCAGAATCTCTCAATATTTTAAATGATATGTTGTATAGAGATTGTCCATACTTTTCCCCATTTTATTAAAACAGGCTGCTCTTGTGAAAAGAATAGGCCATATAATTTAATAAACAACTTACCATTAGATGGCTAGGTCATCTGCAAAATGTAGATTTCATTTAGAAGTTAACTAGACAGACATTTCGGATAGCAGCTAGCAACTAACACTGGAACTAAACTTTCTGGTTTTCCTTGGCTTTGCTTACGTTAGTCTCATTTCTTTCTGATGTATAGGACACACCTTTCGCTCTCCAACAATGCATCACTGACGCAGCAATCAGCCTATTAGAACTGCTTTATACGTGGAACCTATTTTAAGACACAAAAAAGAATCACCTTCTCCATGTAATAAGGTTAATGTCTTCTCTTTTAAAGGTGTGTCTAAAAGTCAAGCTGTCAAAACAGTTTTGTCTGCATTTCCAAAAAGAAAACATATTAAGGAAAATTCTGTTAAAATTATAGAAGAAAAATTGCTCCAGATCTTATAGTTTATAACCACTGTTTACATAGTTCCATCCCAATGTCACATCCATCTCATCTGAAATTATGCATTAATAGCATTTTGTGCTGAAAATAATGGATTTGGAAATTATATTTAAATAATATATTTTGTAAATATGTATGAATATTTTTAAATAAAATGAATAATAATATCAACACAGATCATTTTCCATAAATAATACACTTTTCCACAATTATTTCTGTACAGCTTAACAGCTTGACTGCTGCAATTTTCTAGTGAAAAAAAAGAAAAAAGAAAAGTTCTACACCCAAATTAACAATAAATCTAATTTCACTAAATAAACATCAAGATACAAATACATCTATTACAAAAATGTCATTAAATCTAAACATCTTCTATTCCAACAAAAACATGAAGTAAAACAAACAAACAAACAAATAAACAAAAAAAAAACTATATTGAAATGGCTTATGTTTATTTGACTAGCCTGTTTCTTTAGATCATAACTGTGTTAAACATCCGATAATTTATATTTTTATGTAGGCCTATTTTCATAGTTTAATTGACTGTCTGGTAAAACGATTAAATATATAAAAATAAACCACAGTAGGCTACAGCATAACAGCTAGTAGTAGACAGCTGAACTGCATCTTCATGTAGGCCTAAGCCAGTAGGCCTATTTCTTGAAACAAAGCGAAAGCTGGACAGATGTCATTTGTTGATATGCATTGTTCATACAAATGTATTTTAGCTCACATTCGCCTTTATACATCCAAAAGAGCAGGTGTCGCTGTGCTTTCCTCCTCACAGTGTTGCTTTGCCCCGCTGTCGATTGTATTTACCGAGCATGCGCACATCATTCTTTCTTTTCCAGTGCAGCGGAGTCAAAACTCCCTAGTTTGACTCCAGGCTCCGGCTTAGGAGACTGAAAAGTCTACAAAATGGTCAGTACGCGCCGAAATACTTCTGTTATTGTGTTCCCTAAAGGTTAATTGTCTGTTTGGTGCGCTTACGTTACAGTGTGATGACAGTTAATAAAAGGATGGCATAAGATTTTGTCGGATAGACGGAGTTCAAACGTGGCCTTATGGCTGATTGCAAGCCCTTCCCACATGAGTTTCAGAGAGAGTTCCACACTGTAGTGAATATTGACAATATTGCTAATGTTTTTCCGCAACCTCACACGCTCTCAAAAAGCACAATATGAATATATTATTAAACACCTAATCTCGCTCTCGTGGTGTTTAATGTTGGCATGTTATGCCTTAATTTTGTTGCAGGCCTTTCACCCTATTGCATTCCTATCACTTTTCATTGTAGCAGACATTTCGATTTGTTTTGCGTCTGCAGGTTGATTCTCGGATGTGATTTGCTTTTAAAGTGCTTTGTTGTCCTTTAGGGATTTGTTAAAGTAGTGAAGAACAAGGCCTACTTCAAGAGGTACCAGGTGAAGTTCAGGAGAAGGAGAGGTAAATGCAGAACTTTGAACCGTTATATAAAATCATACAGACAGGTCTGATTTTCATTGTATTCTCTTTTTGCTTTTCAGAGGGAAAAACTGATTACTTTGCCCGAAAGCGCCTGGTTATTCAAGACAAGAACAAGTACAACACACCCAAGTATAGGATGATTGTCCGCTCCTCCAACAGGGACATCATCTGCCAGGTGGGTGTAAAGCTGCTCACCGTTTGCCCTATGACCATTTATGAAGTGCTCATGCAGCAGGATATCCTATAATGCTGAAAATCAGTACTTGAATAGGATGGGAGATTATGGGGAAAAGTTTAATTGTCACTTGACAAACTATTTTATTAAGCACTAAAAGCAATATTTGGTCACAGTTTATATTAGGTGACCTTATTTAACTATACAATATACTTATTAAATGTTTACATGTAGGTGCATAGCAGTTACAAATAACGTACTTGCATTTAATTAACATTTGTGACCCATGCTGGCTAATTTAGTCACAATAGGGAATGTGGAGGTACGTCACGCCGTGTTGCATTATGGGACGTGGGCGCCATCTTTACAGGCACGATCTGTTTACCTTCGTATACTTTACGTATATTAGTGGGTGTCTGGCTAAAACAAGGTAAAATTGAAGAAGAACGGAAGAAATGGAGATGTTTAAAGAAAAAGAGAAGGGACCCTACCGGGATAAACTAAATGCCACTGCCAAAAAACGTTATTTGGACAAACTATCCGCGATTAACAACGTTGATACATCTGATTTAGTTTTGGTGTTCGAAGCCTATGCTAAGTTGAATACTATTGTACATAAAGTTCAAGCTATTTTACCTGAAAAGCAGCTCTCATAGTTAATGTTAGCTTGCTATTTTCAGCATATGTTAAGTTTTCATAGGTTGTGCAAGAAAAAAATTGTACATTACTTTATAATGCCACGATGTGGTAACTTGTTAAATACAACTGTGCCTTATTGTCATCATTTAATGTTGATACGTGTAAAATTAGGGTATTTGGTCGTTTATTTTAAAATAGTTTGATGTATCTTTGCCCATTTATGTGTACTTGAAGGGTCTTTGTGGATTCAATCAGTACAGAAACAGAGAAGTCACTTAATGTATTTATTAAGCTGTTATATAAAAACATGATTCACAAACATTTTAAAAAAGGCATGTAAAAAGATGTACAGAATATCAAAGCAAATTGTTAATTGAAAACAAAATAAATATAATTTGATTCATGCAATGTGTCCTGGCTTTATCATCTGCTAACATGAACCACAAATTCAACATCATTCATCAACTATCCTCCTAACTGTTAGTCATCGAGGAATATACAATACACAACCTCTTGCTTTGTACAACTTTTAACAAACGTAGTATGCAGTGGAGGACAGTAAGTAAAGTTTTTTCCTCATTATTGCGGCACCCCACGCGATCCGGCGTCTTCTCGTCAGCTCCTCGACCTGCTTCTCTTGTTGTTTTTTCCTAGAAAGAGAGGTGAAAAAAACGTATTCCGTTGTTCAGTTTCCTCCCTGAACGATCGTGTGACCTGCTATGGCAGTTGAACTGAACAACCATATCGACGTTTATTAAAATCTCGACAGAAAATCCAAACACAGCCTCCAACACATGCATTTAAATACAGCGGTATTGGGCGCGATCCTGTAAATATGGCGGCGGACCCATAATGCAACACGGCAAATTTTCAAAAATGAGTTAGTCTGTTTGTGTGAATACTCGCCAAGACAAATATTTGAATTATTGTAATTCTGTATGTGTAGATTGGGATCTTTGTGCTCACGCTTTGGATGCGTCGGTCAGCGCGAGTAAGATCGTTTTGTTTACATCAGCATGAGTTTGAAAATCACATTTCATTGGTTCATGCCAACAGGAATTCGCTATGAATATTCACAAAGGTGAAATGCTGCGCTTTAAAACGATACCAAACTTGTGCTGAAAAAACTGCATTTTTCATGGACAAAGGAAAGTTACTCCTCAGAAAACACACAAATAGATACTTTTTAGATGTTTAACTGCTATTTGGAGCATTGGGATCGCTAGACATGGGCAAGCAATCTCAATTTAGTGTTCCTCAAATTCATTGACATTTTTCACTTGTTTTGCCTGTAGCTCGTTAATAGACCGTGCGCATTCCGACTCATTTTACCAGTGTGGGTCAAATTTGTTGTTGCACTGTTAACTTTACCCCTAATTGAAACCCAAACCGTTCGGACATTCATGAGTTTGTGAGCCATTGCACACGCTACAGCGAGCCGGCGGCAATCACATGAGCTTTCACGCTAAACCTGGTGACTGGAGCCTTCAATGTTGCTTCTATAGGTTTGAAAAGAACAAAAATAAAATTCTTAATTCCTTGCACAATGCGAGCCACGACCATATGGGCATCAACGATTTCCACGCAATTTCTCACCTGCGAGCTCGTATGACAGCAAAAATCATACAATGTATGCTGGTGTAACCCTTCCTTCTAGCCCCAACCATACCTCAAACTCATTTGCAATAAATG